GTCGTGAATATGCCATCGCGACTATGTGGAGAGATACCGGTGATTGCGTGCGCTTTGCACTATCCGATATTGGTTACTTGTACTGCGCAGTTCGTGCTGAGTGTCTACTCAATAGTGAATACGGGCGAAAAAGTAGAATATAGGCTATTGCATCAGTTGATCAGTTTTATATGTAAACCTCCTTTGGATATATCTCTTGAAGAAAAGGATGACGAAGGACGAGACAAGAGTGGAGAATGGCGGATTATTGTCGCTTACGCAACTGGCGTGTATGGAGGCGGATGGACAGTTGGCATTCAGGTTGTATCACTATCTTAATTGTACATTAATGTTTATTATATATCAACGAGGGGTGGATCTAACTCGCATTTCTTCGTTAACAGGAAATTCTTTTCAATTCAACATCGATCACCTCGACGACTCATTGTTCCCCGCAAATATCTTCTTCCGTATTCTCTTTTGCTCCGATAACCACCATTTCCTACAAATCTTCTCACCTAATTACAGCACACTCTGACAATACTATTCAACTATTTCATGTCATGAATTCTGATAATATATTACAGTGCACGCACACCCAAACGTTATATGGACATACGGGTAGTGTACAAGCTGTTGCGATTGATGAATACGGGAAATTAATAAGCGGAGCAATGGATCAGAGTATCAAAATATGGGATCTTGGGATCAGAGAGAAGGCAGAAGAAGATATGGAAGAAAAAAAAGGGTGGGGAGAACAAGAGTATAAAGAGAAGGAAAAAAGAAACGTAGTGGAAGCAGTCATGATAATGATTCTGAATACTCACTTGAGGATCGTTAACCAATCGATGCCAATGCGACGCTACTCTTGCGCAAGCGCTCAAATCCTTTGCATCCAAGTACTGAAATACATGCAAGTTTAATTCGTCCGAGAACAAGTTTACAAAGTCTGCTTTGATTTCGGTCTCAGTTTCACCAGTCACTATATAAGATTGCTTTATTCTCTTTGCTGAAAGAGAGTTTTCGAAGGACATACTGTCTTATGTCGGAAGATCAGGCATTAAAAAATGACATACCTATTAATCATATTGCATGTGATAGTCACGTGAAGTAACCGAAATGGTATAGCGTACCATGTGTGATGTTTTCTAGAGAATGCGACAGAACGTCGATATAATTATATTTGAATTCTATCATTCGACGTGAATTTACTTAAATGCACGCTCTCATACTTTCGGTAAAAGTTGCATCTTTTTATATCTGGGGATAAACCATAGTGAAATGAGTTTCGAAACAAATAAATATATTTGCATCGAACGCTAGACAGGTACATTAGTATTGGCAAGCGTCGTGCCAGTTGTATTAATTTGAACCAAATATTATATTCGTATATTATCATGACATTTCTTTATCAAGAATTGAATTGTCAGAACCGTGGAAAAATGTCTAAAAGTGAGAAAACTTGTATATTTACAGTGTTATCTATAATTTCGAATTGAATTTATACTTGCTACAAACAGTTCCTTTGAAATATAGATAGTGAACTCGGCAAATGTGTCTGATCCGATTTATCATTAGGAGCAGTTTTTGAAAAGTATGATGCATAATTAACGTGCTGCTACAACAAATGCAATGCGTACAAGAAGTTTACTATCGCGAAAGACTCTTGGCTTTGCAAATCTTAAAATGAAACCTCGATTCTTTGGTGACACTTGACAAGCTTTGGATAAATCTCATGTTATTAGATTTGACTTGATGTGTTATGATGGCACTCGATACACATCATCCAGATAGATCCGCGTCATCCTGTGATTAATCCAGTCTCCTGACATATTGAAGTGCATCCTTTGAAGACGGCTTTCAGCTGATTCATGGTACAGCGAAAGTTTTAATATATCAAGTCAACTGGCCTCCTTATGTCGCAACTGACTGGTAATTTGTACAGCTAGCACAATTCATTTTTATTATAAGTTAACATATTTGGGCATTCTGCTACCGGTCTCATCCAAATATGGATTAACTTTAGGAGGTGGTCCATATACTGGCTCACGAACACCTATATAAAAAAAGATCTTAGTATCTTACTCATCTGTTTAACGTTAAACGTTTTGAAATGACTAAACGACTTACCAAGGATCTCTTGGTAAATTTTAGTTACTTCTTCATCCCACACTTCTCTAAAGAATGATGCACCACGTATGGTCAAATTGTAATCTTTGACAAACTCTCGAACATCCATTATTCTCTCCGCCTTCACTTGATTTACGCCAATCTGGGAAGGCTGCTCAAAGACAGCTACAGTGTATCGGTGATATTTTGTCCCTTTGGGGGGATGAGGCGGAATATACGGCAAGATTATGTTGCCACCATCAATCGTCGATTTCGTAGCTTCAAGAGGAATATTGACTCTATAAAAGAGTAGGGTCAGCAAACGTTCGGTCAAAGAAAGAGTAACAAACGAGATTTGATTACATTAACCAGAGCCATTCTGTCTGAAATGATTGCGTCTTAACGTTCGGCATATCTGGTGTGATTTCGGAAAAGTAATTTAGAACGCTTTATAACCCAGCGCGTATATCCATTACAA